GGCTTAGGCATCGGTGGCCGCCTTGGTCGGCCTTGTGTCGGGGGCTTGCTGCCCTGTTCTCGACTGCATGGGGTCAGGTGCCGGACGGGCATCTATGACTAGGGGTCAGGGCAGTCGACGTCTGCTTGTCTGTTCGTGGTTCTATCGCCGGTCTAGGGCCCGGGCCGACTTTGGGCAGGTGGCTTGACAGAGACCGGTGGTTTTCTCGGCCGGTGGATTTGTTCTTCCTCTAGATGGTGGTCACGTTTAGCTAGGTAGGACGGTTCAGTGAAAGCGGCGCAAGGCCTTGGCCGTTGCTGGCGACGACGATGTCTACGGATGTCGTTTTCCTCCTCGGTGGTGTTGCTTACAGTCCATCCTCCCCAGGCAATCTGACTTCCTCCCTGTTGCAGTGTCCTCCTTCGGTGGTGTTCATCTGATTTCTCGATACCAAGGTTCCTCTAGGGTCTTCTTGTCGTCGGCGATGTACCTTGATGTGACCTTGGCCTCTTTTAGACGGCAGTCTGCTTGGTGTGTGAGGTCATCCTGGGACCATGGGGTTGCTGGAATCGGTGTCATGCAAGTAGGCAGCCAGAGGTATTCTTTAGTCCAGTTGCATTGGGTGTGGTTTGTTAGTTGCTAGTGATGCTCTCTTGGGTTGGCTGGTGGAGCGCCAATGAATGTCGTGCCCTTGTCAGGCCAACAATGACGAAGTTTGTGGACGCTACTCTCCTCCTTGGAGGCATCGTTTATTAACCCTTCCTCTGTCAAACTGATGGTATCTTACGCCTCGCCCATCGATTGAAATGTGCCTAGGATTGGTGGCATGCGTGGTGAGGTGTGTTGAGGCGATCCGAAAAGGCTTGGGCTTATTACTAGGAACTAGCTAGATTCTTAGTTTGGCTTTAGTCCCTGTTTTTAGCTATTGGTGCTTCTCTTGTATAGCTAGTATCCCTGGCAGGGTTGGTGTCTGTTTGTATGCTTCATCTCTAACGGTTGTGGCTTTATTTATAAAGCGGGGAAGAAGCCTTTTTTCGGTCATATGCCATGTCGGCATACAACATTACACCAAAAGGATCTTCGTGGCCATAGTTCATGCATCTCGACTCTAATTCAAACAAATAAAAGATGATCACGCATAATCTCGGTCTTGGATGAACTTTGGTTTACCCTCAAACCAAGTCATCTTTTTTGGGTCATCTTGCTTGTCTCGGCCGCCATGATCTCCACTTCCTTGTTGATTAGCCCGAGCTCCGCCTCCATGGCTCTTGTTTGGCAATTTGCCTCATCGATCTCAAGCTTCTTCCTTTGTATGTTAAACTAGGTCTTCATTTGCTCCTCTTTCTCTTGGTGCTCCCTCTATTCCCTTTGTGTTATGAACCCCTTCAAAGTTTCTTGCAAGGCGATTGCCGAAGCATCACTAATGACCCATAAGTATGGGGGATCAATCGTAGTATTTTCGATAAGTAAGAGTGTCGAACCGAACGAGGAGCGGAAGGAATCAATAAGTGGTTTTAAGCAAGGTATTCTCTGCAAGTGTTGTAAAGTAGTTATGACAGATAGTTTGGTAGCAAGATAATTGGTAGCAATTAACAAGGTGCAACAAGGTGGACCAATCCTTTTTATTGCAAAGGACAAGCCATGCGTACTTCTTATAGTGACTAAAACATTCTCAAGGACACATGGGAATTTCGTCTAGTCATCTTCATCACAGTCCATTGACTCGTGTTCACTACTTTGATAAATTGTTATGTGGGTGGACCGGCGCTAGGGTGTTGTTCCTACTTGAACGAACAACCTACTTATGATTACCCCCTATCGCAAGCATACACAACTACAAGAGAAGAATTAACATAAATCTAACCATAGCATGAAACATATGGATCCAAATCAACCCATTCCAGAATAGGTCATAAACTAGGGTTTAGGCTTCTGTCACTCCTGCAACCCATCATCTACTTATTAATCCCACAATGCCTTCCCCTAGGCCCAAACATGGTAATTTATCATGTATTCAACGTTGACACGACACCACTAGAGGAAGAACAACATAACAGATCATCCAAACATTGAACGAAAACCACCTTCACATGATTACTTATGAAAAGACTTCTCCCGTGTCCTCAAGAACAAACGGAACTACTCACAAAATCATATCCATGTTCATGATTAGAGGAGATAAATATATGATTAACAATCTGAACAAATAATCTTCCACCAAGTAAAGCAATTAGCATCAACTACAAGATGTAATCAACACTACTAGCAACCAGAGGTACCAATCAGAGGTTTGTGACAAAGATTGAATACAAGAGATGAACTAGGGTTTGGAGATGATATGGTGCCGATGAAGGTGCTGCTAGAGATGAGTCCTCCCACGATGAGAGGAACATTGGTGATGACAATGGCTTTGATTTCCCCCTTCGGGAGGGAAATATCTCCTAGCCAAGTTCCGCCTTGGGAAGGTGACGCTTCATCCTGAAAGTCTTCTTTTGATTTTTTCTAGGGAATGGCTTCATATAGTAGGAGATGGACTTCAGAGGCATTCAGTGGACCCCACAAGCTCTCATGGCGCGCCACAAGGGGGTGCCACCTAAGCTTGGGTGCCCTCTGGTATATTTACTTCTGGTGTTTTTATATATTTTGAAATAATTCTCAGTGCATTTTCAGGTCATTTGGAGCTACAAAGAATAGCTATCTCCATTATAGCTCTTTTCTGGTATAGAATTCCATCTGCCGTTGAAATTTAAGAGAGAGAAAACATTAGAATTGCATCAAAAAGTGAAATATAACTTCAAGACAATAAAATAATAGTAGGAAAACATGATGCAAAATGGACATATCAACTCCACCAAGCTTAAGACTCCACTTTCCCTCAAGCGAATACCGAGCTCGATAATCATGACCGCGGGTTTAGAGAGAGAGAGAGGTGTCGATAAAACAAAATATGGACATGGTAGCATCATGATCATTATAGTAGCAGCAACTATCAATCATAAAACTTCTCATGAACTAGTAATAATTCATTCACAAGCTAAAGTATAAATAATACACTTTCTTGAAAACTAACAAACTATGTTCTTAGTCATCAAAAAATTGCAATTCATCATGTTTTCAAGAAGGGTCTATGTAAGAGCTTTTAGTTTAGTAAACTTCACATACTCAACTATCATATAGTCTTCCATGATTGCTGGCACTCAAAGCATATTTTTAGAACAAACTGTTTCAATCAAACACAAAGGGACATGGGGGTTTAGTGTTTCACCTCCCAATTGATTTATCTCAGGGATAATGTCAACAATAATAACTCATGACTACATATATTCAACTGGATATATATGTCTGGATCTTCCCTGCCATATGATGCTTGCCAAGTGGAGAATAATTGAGATTGGAATAGGAGTAAATATTTTTTACTCTTGTATGAAAGTAAAGATTAAACATTGAAAGAGAGGCCCTTCGCAGAGGGAAGTAGAGGTTGTCATGCACTTTTATTTTGGATGTGTAAGCTCTTAATGTAAAGGAATGTCACTTTATATTGCCCCTTGTGTTAGCAACCATTATTGAGCAGTTTGTCGCTTTTATAGCGTTACCATCATAAGTTCGTATAAAGCTTGTTTCCCTTACAATAAAAGAGCATACATATTTAGAGGCAACTTTTATTGCTTTCCACTGATGACGACTTACTTGAGGGATCTTATTCAATTCGTGGGTAGGTATGTGATACGTCTCCAACGTATCTATAATTTTTTATTGTTTCATGCTATTATATTATGAAACTTGTATGCTTTATATGCCATTATACATCATTGTTGGGAACTAACCTATTAACCTGGTGCCAAGTGCCAGTTGTTGTTTTCTACATGTTTTGGTTTTTATAGAAAATCCCTTCCAAACAAAGTCCAAACGTAATGAAACTTTTTGACGATTTTCTCTGGAGCAAGAGGGACCCTAGAAGCTTCAAGGGGAGTCCAGATGACAGACGAGGAGATGGCAGGGCAGCATGGCGCGCCCAGGAGGAATGTTCTCTTAATTTATACTTGGCGGATTTTAAAACTAAAAGTCATT